AAAGGTGTGTTAGATGTTATAAAGGTGTGTTAGATGTTATAAAGATGTTATAAGATGCATTAAAGGAGTGTTATAAGATGTTAAAGGTGTTATTAGGTGTTAAAGGCATGTTATAAAGATGTTATAAGATGTGTTATCAGGTGTTATATAGGTATCTTATAAGATGTTAAAGATGTTATTAGGCGTTAAAGGCATGTTATAAAGGTGTTATAAGATGTGTTATAAGGTGTTATATAGGTATCTTATAAGATGTTAAAGATGTTATTAGGTGTTAAAGGCATGTTATAAAGATGTTATAAGATGTGTTATCAGGTGTTATATAGGTATCTTATAAGATGTTAAAGATGTTATTAGGTGTTAAAGGCATGTTATAAAGGTGTTATTAGGCGTTAAAGGCATGTTATAAAGATGTTATTAGGTGTTAAAGGCATGTTATAAAGATGTTATTAGGTGTTAAAGGCATGTTATAAAGGTGTTATTAGGTGTTAAAGGCATGTTAAAGATGTTATTAGGCGTTAAAGGCATGTTATAAAGGTGTTATTAGGCGTTAAAGGCATGTTATAAAGGTGTTATTAGGCGTTAAAGGCATGTTATAAAGATGTTATTAGGTGTTAAAGGCATGTTATAAAGGTGTTATAAGGTGTTAAAGGCATGTTATAAAGGTGTTATTAGGCGTTAAAGGCATGTTATAAAGATGTTATTAGGCGTTAAAGGCATGTTATAAAGGTGTTATTAGGCGTTAAAGGCATGTTATAAAGGTGTTATTAGGCGTTAAAGGCATGTTATAAAGGTGTTATTAGGCGTTAAAGGCATGTTATAAAGGTGTTATTAGGCGTTAAAGGCATGTTATAAAGATGTTATTAGGTGTTAAAGGCATGTTATAAAGGTGTTATTAGGTGTTAAATGCATGTTATAAAGATGTTATTAGGCGTTAAAGGCATGTTATAAAGGTGTTATTAGGCGTTAAAGGCATGTTATAAAGGTGTTATTAGGCGTTAAAGGCATGTTAAAAGATGTTATTAGGTGTTAAAGGCATGTTATAAAGATGTTATTAGGTGTTAAAGGCATGTTATAAAGATGTTATAAGATGTGTTATAAAGGTGTGTTAAATGTGTATTTTAAGATGTGTTATAAAGGTGTGTTATGATGTTAAAGGTGTGTTACAAGATGTTATAAAGGTGTGTTATGATGTTAAAGGTGTGTTAGATGTTAAAGGTGTGTTAGATGTTAAAGGTGTGTTAGATGTTATAAAGGTGTGTTAGATGTTAAATGTGTATTTTAAGATGTGTTATAAAGGTGTGTTACAAGATGTTATAAAGGTGTGTTAGATGTTATAAAGGTGTGTTAGATGTTAAATGTGTATTTTAAGATGTGTTATAAAGGTGTGTTACAAGATGTTATAAAGGTGTGTTAGATGTTATAAAGGTGTGTTAGATGTTAAATGTGTATTTTAAGATGTGTTATAAAGGTGTGTTTCATGATGTTATAAAGGTGTGTTAGATGTTATAAAGGTGTGTTAGATGTTAAAGGTGTGTTAGATGTTATAAAGGTGTGTTAGATGTTAAATGTTGTATTTTAAGATGTGTTATTAAAGGTGTGTTACCAAGATGTTATAAAGGTGTGTTTGATTTATAAGGTGTGTTATGTTAAATGTGTTTTTGTGTGTTTCAGGTGTGTTACAAGATGTTATAAAGGTGTGTGTTAGATGTTATAAGGTGTGTAGATGTTAAAGTGTTATGTTAAGATGTGTTATAAAGGTGTGTTTCATGATGTTCTAAAGGTGTGTTAGATGTTATAAGGTGTGTTGGATGTTAAAGGTGTGTTGATGTTTAAAGGTGTGTTAGAAATGTTTACGGTGTGTTGTGTGTTCAAGGTGTGTTAGCTTTACGGTTTGTGGGTTTGGATGTTTTACACGGTGTGTTGGCATGTTTAAAGGGTGTTCGTGTGGTGTTGTGTCGGTGTGTTTCATGATGTTAAGGTGTGTGTTAGATGTTAAGGTGTGGTTTAGATGTTAAGGTGTGTTAGATGTTAAGTGTGTTGATGTATAAAGGTGTGTTTCATGATGTTATAAAGGGTGTTAGATGTTAAAGGTGTGTTAGATGTTATAAAGGTGTGTTTCATGATGTTATAAAGGTGTGTTAGATGTTATAAAGGTGTGTTAGAAGATGTTATAAAGGTGTGTTAGAAGATGTTATAAAGGTGTGTTAGATGTTAAAGGTGTGTTAGATGTAAAAGGTGTGTTAGATGTTAAAGGTGTGTTAGGTGTTATAAAGGTGTGTTAGATGTTAAAGGTGTGTTAGATGTTAAAGGTGTGTTGGGATGTTATAAAGGTGTGTTAGATGTTATAAGGTGTGTTAGATGTTATAAAGGTGTGTTAGATGTTATAAAGGTGTGTTAGATGTTATAAAGGTGTGTTAGATGTTTAAGGGTGTGTTAGATGTTAAAGGTGTGTTAGATGTTAAAGGTGTGTTAGATGTTAAAGGTCTGTTAGATGTTAAAGGTGTGTTAGATGTTATAAAGGTGTGTTAGATGTTATAAAGGTGTGTTAGATGTTAAGGTGTAGATGTTATAAGGTTGTGTAGTGTTAAGGTGTGTTAGATGTTATAAGGTGTGTTAGATGTTATAAAGGTGTGTTAGATGTTAAAGGTGTGTTAGATGTTAAAGGTGTGTTAGATGTTATAAAGGTGTGTTAGATGTTATAAAGGTGTGTTATAATAATAAAATAATAATAATATGCCATTTAGCAGACGCTTTTATCCAAAGCGACTTACGTCATGCGTGCTAAATTTTTTTTTTTTGTAGTCCCGGGGATCGAACCCATACCTTGGCGTTACAAGCGCCGTGCTCTACCAGCTGAGCTACAGAGGACCATAGATGTTAAAGGTGTGTTAGATGTTAAAGGTGTGTTAGATGTTATAAAGGTGTGTTAGATGTTATAAAGGTGTGTTAGATGTTATAAAGGTGTGTTAGATGTTAAAGGTGTGTTAGATGTTAAAGGTGTGTTAGATGTTATAAAGGTGTGTTGTTGGGATGTTGTATAAAGGTGTGTTGGATGTTATAAAGGTGTGTTAGATGTTATAAAGGTGTGTTAGATGTTATAAAGGTGTGTTAGATGTTAAAGGTGTGTTAGATGTTAAAGGTGTGTTGGGATGTTATAAAGGTGTGTTGGGATGTTATAAAGGTGTGTTAGATGTTATAAAGGTGTGTTAGATGTTATAAAGGTGTGTTAGATGTTAAAGGTGTGTTATAAAGGTGTGTTACAATATGTTTTAAATGTGTGTTATATAAGTGTTAAAATATGTGTTATAAGGGTGTTATAAAGATGTGCTATAAGGTATGTTAAAGAGATGTTATCAGGTGTGTTATAAATAATTGTTATAAGGTGTATTAGATGTGTTATAAGGTGTGTTATAAAGGTGTGTTAGATGTTATAAGGTGTGTTAGATGTTAAAGGTGTGTTAGGATGTTATAAAGGTGTGTTAGATGTTAAAGGTGTGTTATAAGATGCGTTAAAGGTGTTGTGTTATAAGGTGCTATAAAGATGTTATAAGGTGTGTTAAAAGGCGTTATAAGGTATCTTATACGATGTTAAAGGTGTTATCATAAAGGTGTTATAAAAGGGTTAAGGTGTGTTATAAGATGTGTTATAAGGTGTGTTATAAGATGTGTTATAAAGGTGTGTTTTAAAGGTGTTATATAAGTGTTATAAGGGGGTGTTATAAAGGTGTGTTATAAAGTCCCTCAGTGGAGGTGTCATAGAGGTGTCATAATACCCATAAAACCTAGCGGATTAACAGAGAAATGGTTTTAAAAAAAAATCCACCATTTATTTTTCCCATAGGGGATTTTAGAAACACTTAAAATAAGGGCTGTGTTTCCACTGGCGTGAAGTTTTGATAACCATTTAAATCTCTTTCGGACAAGGTGACTTATCAATATATTCGGTTTTATTTACTCTCAGATTCAAAAATGCTAATTAGCATCAAAGCAGTCAAAACTGTTCGCAAAAGATTCTTACCTTTGCCTTGATTTGGCAGTCTCATCAACATCATCATGGCATTTGTAGTTCTTTATGATAGCCACATTAGCAGCGAATTAACATTTAATTTTGGGGGAATAAATATATTGATAAGTCACCTTATCCTAGAGAGATTTAGATGGTTATCAAAACGTCACGCCAGGGTAAGCCTACACGAAACACAGCCCTTAATTGAAGTGTTTCTAAAATCCCCCTGTGGGAAAAATAAATGGTGGAAAAACTATTGGAACCATTTTCCTGGTTGACTGCTAGGTTTTATGGGTATTATGACTCATCCTGTGCAACAAGGTGTTATATAGGTGTGTTAATTGGGGGTGTTATATGGGTGTCATAAAGGGTGACATTTTACATTTTTTTTACATTTTAGTCATTTAGCAGACGCTCTTATCCAGAGCGACTTACAGTTAGTGCATACATTATTATTTTTCAAACCCCCTGTGGGAATCGAACCCACAACCCTGGCGTTGCAAACGCCATGCTCTACCAACTGAGCTACATCCCTGTAGGGTTGAGGGCTTCTGTTCTGGACAGGTGTTCTAAGTCTGTAAGGTACTGACCTAGTAGCGTGGGCCGGCTGGACCTCGTGTGTTCTGGACAGGTGTTCTAAGTCTGTAAGGTACTAACCTAGTAGCGTGGGCCAGCTGGACCTCGTGTGTTCTGGACAGGTGTTCTAAGTCTGTAAGGTACTGACCTAGTAGCGTGGGCCGGCTGGACCTCTTCTGTTCTGGACAGGTGTTCTAAGTCTGTAAGGTACTGACCTAGTAGCGTGGGCCGGCTGGACCTCTTCTGTTCTGGACAGGTGTTCTAAGTCTGTAAGGTACTAACCTAGTAGCGTGGGCCGGCTGGACCTCGTGTGTTCTGGACAGGTGTTCTAAGTCTGTAAGGTACTAACCTAGTAGCGTGGGCCGGCTGGACCTCGTGTGTTCTGGACAGGTGTTCTAAGTCTGTAAGGTACTAACCTAGTAGCGTGGGCCGGCTGGACCTCGTGTGGGTTCCGTCTGTCTGACCAGAAGAACAGCAACCGGTCAAACTTAGGCTCGATGTCGGCGAACTGAGCTTTACCCTCTGGGAAGATACGCAGAACACCACCATGCTCCTGGAAAAACAGAACAATCAATTAATCAATCAATTATTCAATCAATCAGAATATCCCAATGTTCCTAGAAAAAACAGATCAATAAATCAATCAATTATTCAATCAGAATATCCCCATGTTCCTAGAAAAAACAGATCAATAAATCAATCAATTATTCAATCAGAATATCCCCATGTTCCTAGAAAAACAGATCAATAAATCAATCAATTATTCAATCAGATTATCCCCATGTTCCTAGAATAGAACCAAACAACACAAGCAGAGATGAGAACAGACCACAACAATAGAATGACAGATGACAGCCACAGCTATTTGAGAAAGAAAGGGGTTTGACAAAAAGGCCAACAGACCAATCACAGCAGCATTGAGAGCAACAACAGATTGAAATCACAATCCGTTACAAACATGAAACTGGAAAATCAGAAAAGAAACATTGTTGCCTCTTCAGGGCAGCGTTCCACATGGCTCCTTGTCCCTTTATAGTGCACTACGTTTGACCAAGGCCCATAAGGAGCTGGTCAAAACAAGTGCACTGTATAGAAAATAGGGAGCTATTTGGGAAACACAAACTAAGTCTAGGAGACCTAGTGGAGTAACACACTAAGTCTAGGAGACCTAGGGAAGTAACACACTAATCTAGAGACCTAGGGGATAACACACTAAGTCTAGGAGCCAGGAAGTCAACACACTACGTCTAGGAGAACCAGTGGAGTAACACCCCTAAGTCCTAGGAGACTAGGAGAGTAACAACACTAATCTAGATCCCTCTGGTAGTAACACACTAAGTCGAGGAGACCTAGGGGAGTAACACACTAAGTCTAGGAGACCTAGGAACCTAGGAGAGTAACACCTAATCTATGAGACCTAGTGGAGTAAACCACCTAAGTGCTAGAGACCTAGGAGAGTTACACACTAAGTCTAGGAGACCTAGGCGAGTACACCCTAAGTCTAGGATACCGAGAGAGTAACAACACACTAGTCTCGGAGGCCTAGGAGAGTAACAGACACTAAGTCCTAGGAGACCTAGGAGAGTAACACACTAAGTCTAGGAGACCTAGGAGAGTAACACACTAAGTCTAGGAGACCTAGGAGAGTAACACACTAAGTCTAGGAGGACTAGGGAGAGTAACACACTAAGTCTAGGAGACCTAGGGCGTAACACACTAAGTCTAGGAGACCTAGGAGACCTAGGAGATAACACACTAAGTCTAGGAGACCTAGGAGAGTAACACACTAAGTCTAGGAGACCTAGGAGAGTAACACACTAAGTCTAGGAGACCTAGGGGAGTAACACACTAAGTCTAGGAGACCTAGGAGAGTAACACACTAAGTCTAGGAGACCTAGGAGAGTAACACACTAAGTCTAGGAGACCTAGGAGAGTAACACACTAAGTCTAGGGAGAACCTAGGAGAGTAACACACTAAGTTAGGAGACCTAGGAGAGTAACACACTAAGTCTAGGAGACCTAGGAGAGTAACACACTAAGTCTAGGAGACCTAGGAGAGTAACACACTAAGTCTAGGAGACCTAGGAGACCTAGTGGAGTAACACACTAAGTCTAGGAGACCTAGGAGACCTAGTGGAGTAACACACTAAGTCTAGGAGACCTAGGAGAGTAACACACTAAGTCTAGGAGACCTAGGAGAGTAACACACTAAGTCTAGGAGACCTAGGAGAGTAACACACTAAGTCTAGGAGACCTAGGGGAGTAACACACTAAGTCTAGGAGACCTAGTGGAGTAACACACTAAGTCTAGGAGACCTAGGAGACCTAGTGGAGTAACACACTAAGTCTAGGAGACCTAGGAGAGTAACACACTAAGTCTAGGAGACCTAGGAGAGTAACACACTAAGTCTAGGAGACCTGGAGGAGGGGACCTAGTGGAGTAAACACACTAAGTCTAGGGAGGACCTAGGAGACCTAGGGAGTAACACACTAAGTCTAGGAGACCTAGGAGAGTAACACACTAAGTCTAGGAGACCTAGGGGAGTAACACACTAAGTCTAGGAGACCTAGGAGAGTAACACACTAAGTCTAGGAGACCTAGGAGAGTAACACACTAAGTCTAGGAGACCTAGGGAGTAACACACTAAGTCTAGGAGACCTAGGAGCTAGTGGGGAACACACTAAGTCTAGGAGACCTAGGAGACTAACACACTAAGTCTAGGAGACCTAGGAGAGTAAAAACACTAAGTCTAGGAGACCTAGAGAGGACCTAAATGGAGGTAACACACTAAGTCTAGGAGACCTAGGAGAGTAACACACTAAGTCTAGGAGACCTAGGAGAGTAACACACTAAGTCTAGGAGACCTAGGAGAGTAACACACTAAGTCTAGGAGACCTAGGAGAGTAACACACTAAGTCTAGGAGACTAGGAGGAGTAACACACTAAGTCTAGGAGACCTAGGAGACCTAAGAGGGGACCTAGGAGAGTAACACACTAAGTCTAGGAGACCTAGGGGAGTAACACACTAAGTCTAGGAGACCTAGGAGACCTAGGAGAGTAACACACTAAGTCTAGGAGACCTAGGAGAGTAACACACTAAGTCTAGGAGACCTAGGAGAGGTAACACACTAAGTCTAGGAGACCTAGGAGGAGTAACACACTAAGTCTAGGAGACCTAGGAGAGTAACACACTAAGTCTAGGAGACCTAGTGGAGTAACACACTAAGTCTAGGAGACCTAGGAGAGTAACACACTAAGTCTAGGAGACCTAGGAGAGTAACACACTAAGTCTAGGAGACCTAGGAGAGTAACACACTAAGTCTAGGAGACCTAGGAGAGTAACACACTAAGTCTAGGAGACCTAGGAGAGTAACACCACTAAGTCTAGGAGACCTAGGGAGTAACACACTAAGTCTAGGAGACCTAGGAGAGTAACACACTAAGTCTAGGAGACCTAGTGGAGTAACACATAAGTCTAGGAGACCTAGGAGAGTAACACACTAAGTCTAGGAGACCTAGGGAGGGAACACACTAAGTCTAGGAGACCTAGGGAGAGTAACACATAAGTCTAGGAGACCTAGGAGAGTACACACTAAGTCTAGGAGACCTAGGAGCCTAGGAGAGTACACACTAAGTCTAGGAGACCTAGGAGACCTAGGAGAGGTAACACACTAAGTCTAGGAGACCTCGGTGAGTAACACACTAAGTCTAGGAGACCTAGGAGACCTAGTGAGAGTACACACTAAGTCTAGGAGACCTAGGGAGTAACACACTAAGTCTAGGGAGACCGCTAGGAGACCTAGGAGTAACACACTAAGTCTAGGAGACCTATGAGAGTAACACACTAAGTCTAGGAGACCTAGTGAGGTAACACACTAAGTCTAGGAGACCTAGGAGAGTAACACACTAACGTCTAGGAGACCTAGGGAAGTAACACACTAAGGTCTAGAGAGACCTAGGAGAGTAACACACTAAGTCTAGAAGACCTAGTGGAGTAACACACTAAGTCTAGGAGACCTAGGAGAGTAAACACTTAGGTGGAGACCTAGGAGAGTCAAACCACACCTAATCTAGAGACCTAGGGACAGAGTAACACACTAAGTCTAGGAGACCTAGGAGAGTAACACACTAAGTCTAGGGACCTAGGAGAGTAACACACTAAGTCTAGGAGACCTAGGAGAGTGAGTAACACACTAAGTCTAGGAGACCTAGGAGAGTAACACACTAAGTCTAGGAGACTAGGAGAGTAACACACTAAGTCTAGGAGACCTAGGAGAGTAACACACTAAGTCTAGGAGACCTAGGGAGAGTAACACACTAAGTCTAGGAGACCTAGGAGAGTAACACACTAAGTCTAGGAGACCTAGGGAGAGTAAACACACTAAGTCTAGGAGACCTAGGAGAGTAACACACTAAGTCTAGGAGACCTAGGAGACCTAGGAGAGTAACACACTAAGTCTAGGAGACCTAGGGGAGTAACACACTAAGTCTAGGAGACCTAGGAGACCCTAGAGAGTGGGGTAACACACTAAGTTCTAGGAGACCTAGGAGAGTAACACACTAAGTCTAGGAGACCTAGGGAGTAACACACTAAGTCTAGGAGAGAACCTAGTACGACCTAGGGAGTAACACACTAAGTCTAGGAGACCTAGGAGAGTAACACACTAAGTCTAGGAGACCTAGGAGAGTAACACACTAAGTCTAGGAGACCTAGGAGAGTAACACACTAAGTCTAGGAGACCTAGGGGAGTAACACACTAAGTCTAGGAGACCTAGGAGAGTAACACACTAAGTCTAGAAGACCTAGGAGCAGGGGATACACACTAAGTCTAGGAGACCTAGGAGAGTAACACACTAAGTCTAGCAGACCTAGGAGAGTAACACACTAAGTCTAGGAGACCTAGGAGAGTAACACCCCTAAGTCTAGCAGACCTAGGAGAGTAACAACACACTAAGTCTAAGCAGGGCCTAGGAGAGTAACACACTAAGTCTAGGAGACCTAGGAGAGTAACACACTAAGTCTAGGAGACCTAGGAGAGTAACACACTAAGTCTAGGAGACCTAGGAGAGTAACACACTAAGTAAAGGAGACCTAGGAGAGTAACCACACTAGTTAGGAGACCTGGAGGACCTAGTGGAGTAAACAACACTAAGTCTAGGAGACCTAGGAGAGTAACACACTAAGTCTAGCAGACCTAGGAGAGTAACACACTAAGTCAGGAGACCTAGGAGAGTAACACACTAAGTCTAGGAGACCTAGGATACCTAGGAGAGTAACACACTAAGTCAAGGAGACCTAGGAGAGTAACACACTAAGTCTAGGAGACCTAGGAGACCTAGTGGAGTAACACACTAAGTCTAGGGACCTAGGAGAGTAAACACACTAAGTCTAGGAGGACCTAGTGAGAGTAAACACACTAAGTCTAGGAGACCTAGGAGACCTAGTGGAGTAACACACTAAGTCTAGGAGAACCTAGGAGAGTAACACACTAAGTTTAGGAGACCTAGGAGAGTAACACACTAAGTCTAGGAGACCTAGGGAGGAGTAACACACTAAGTCTAGGAGAACCTAGGAGACCTTTTGGAGGAAGTAACACACTAAGTCTAGGAGACCTAGGAGAGTAACACACTAAGTCTAGGAGACCTAGGAGACCTAGGAGAGTAACACACTAAGTCTAGGAGACCTAGGAGAGTAACACACTAAGTCTAGGAGACCTAGGGGAGTAACACACTAAGTCTAGGAGACCTAGGAGAGTAACACACTAGTTAGGAGACCTAGGAGAGTAAACACACTAAGTCTAGGAGACCTAGGAGAGTAACACACTAAGTCTAGGAGACCTAGGAGGAGTAACACACTAAGCTAGGAGACCTAGGAGAGTAACACACTAAGTCTAGAGACCTAGGAGAGTAACACACTAAGTCTAGGAGACCTAGGAGAGTAACACACTGTGTGTCAGATATTACTTGAGATTGGTTATTGAACTACAGTAAGAGAAGTGGATCAACACCCGGTAATGGAAATACAGTAACAGAATAATCAGGACCTGGACGAGTAAACATAAGGTAATGTAGAGTAATACACTATGTTAGAGACCAGGGACACACAGCAGAGTAGAGTCAGTACAATACAATACGAGAGTAACTCACAACTACAGAGACAGAGTAGAGTTAATACCAGTACCTAGAACATACACACAATACAGTAAACAGACTAGGTTCAGTACAGAGAGTACATGTTCAGTACAATGACAGTACAGCCAGAGTAGAGGTCAGTCAGACAATACAGTCAGATGAGTAGAGTTCAGTAAGTACACACAGTACAGTAGAGCAGAGTTCAGTACAATACAATACAGCAGAGTAGAGTTCAGTACAATACAGTACAGCAGAGTAGAGGTCAGTTCAGTACAATACAGTACAGCAGAGTAGAGTTCAGTACAATACAGCACAGCAGACTAGGGTTCAGTACAATACAACACAGTACAGTAGAGTAGAGTTCAGTACAATACAATACAGCAGAGTAGAGTTCAGTACAATACAGTACAGCAGAGCAGAGTTCAGTTCAGTACAATACAGTACAGTAGAGCAGAGTTCAGTACAATACAGCACAGCAGACTAGGGTTCAGTACAATACAACACAGTACAGTAGAGTAGAGTTCAGTACAATACAGTACAGCAGAGCAGAGTAGAGTTTAATACAATACAGCAGAGTAGAGTTCAGTACAATACAGTACAGCAGAGCAGAGTAGAGTTTAATACAGTACACTACACTACAATACAGTACAACAGACTACGGTTCAGTACAGAAGAGTCATGTTCAGTACAATACAGCACAGCAGACTAGGGTTCAGTACAATACAACACAGTACAGTAGAGCAGAGTTCAGTACAATACAGTACAGCAGAGTAGAGTTCAGTAAATACAGTACAGCAGAGTAGAGTTCAGTAAAATACAGTACAGCAGAGTAGAGTTCAGTACAATACAGCAGAGTTCAGAACAATACAGCACAATAGACTAGGGTACAATACAATACAGTACAGCAGAGTGTAGTTCAGTACAATAGAGTAGCGCAGAGTTCAGTACAGTAGAGTTCAGTACAATACAGTATAGCAGAGTAGAGTTCAGTACAGAACAATACAGTCCAGCAGAGTAGAGTTCAGTACAATACAAAACAGCAGAGTAGAGTTCAGTACAGTAGAGTTCAGTACAGTAGAGTTCAGTACAATACAGTCCAGCAGAGTAGAGTTCAGAACAATACAGTCCAGCAGAGTTCAGTACTACACTGTACTATACTGTACTGTACTACTGTATTATACTGTACTACTGTATTGTCCTGTACTAAAGTATTGTACTACTGTAGTGTACTGTATTGTATTATGTACTACTGTATCCTACTGTACTGTACTACTGAACTACTGTAAGGTATTGTATTCTACTTCACTACTGTATTGTATTGTACTACTGTAGACAGTAATAATAGTAATATACCTTGGCGTCCCAGTCTTTATTTAGGTAGTAGATACAGGTGACACATCGCCCGTCTCCGTTCGGGTTGTCCACGTGGCGTACGTATCCGGTCCCGTTGCCTGGGTAACACGCAACCATCGCCTAGACAACAGAACAGAAACAGAAAGATGATTAGAAGGAGAAGATTAGTCCTGACTCTTCTAAATAACACATGGATGCAATGCAATGCGCTTCACAGGAAAACACTCATAAAAAAACAAGGAAAATGCAAACCAAAATATTTACTAGACAACAAACATAAGAGCATTAAAACAAAAGAATAAGAATAACAACTGAAGGACTAAAAGCCTCCTGAGGAAAAGCAACGCTAAAAAATGTGTGTTTTAAGATCTCTTTTAAACATGTCCACAGTTTCATCCCCCCTCAGGATCTCTGGCAGGCTATTCCAGAGGCTGGGGGCATAGTAACTAAAGGCTGCCTCTCCATGCCTCTTGGTCCTGGGCTTTGGGATAGTTAAAAGGCCAGTGCCAGAGGACCTGAGGGACCTACTGGGTACATAACTTAAAAGCATGTCTGACATGTATTGAGGTGCACAATCGTCGAACAATCTTTAAATTAATTCTAAAACAGTGCAGAGACCTTAAAACCGGTGTAATGTGTGCTCTCTGTCTGGACTTGGTCAGTACCCGTGCTGCAGCATTCTGGGTGTTTTTGCAGACCAGACAGGAGAGCATTACAGTAGCCTGCTTGTAATAAAAGCATGGATGAGTCTCTCTGTATCAGCCTGAGGGAGTCTCTCTGTATCAGCCTGAGGGAGTCTCTCTGTATCAGCCTGAGAGAGTCTCTCTGTATCAGCCTGAGGGAGTCTCTCTGTATCAGCCTGAGGGAGTCTCTCTGTATCAGCCTGAGGGAGTCTCTCTGTATCAGCCTGAGGGAGTCTCTCTGTATCAGCCTGAGGGAGTCTCTCTGTATCAGCCTGAGGGAGTCTCTCTGTATCAGCCTGAGGGAGTCTCTCTGTATCAGCCTGAGGGAGTCTCTCTGTATCAGCCTGAGGGAGTCTCTCTGTATCAGCCTGAGGGAGTCTCTCTGTATCAGCCTGAGGGAGTCTCTCTGTATCGTATCAGCCTGAGGGAGTCTCTCTGTATCAGCCTGAGGAGTCTCTCTGTATCAGCCTGAGGGAGTCTCTCTGTATCAGCCTGAGGGAGTCTCTCTGTATCAGCCTGAGGGAGTCTCTCTGTATCAGCCTGAGGGAGTCTCTCTGTATCAGCCTGAGGGAGTCTCTCTGTATCAGCCTGAGGGAGTCTCTCTGTATCAGCCTGAGGGAGTCTCTCTGTATCAGCCTGAGGGAGTCTCTCTGTATCAGCCTGAGAGAGTCTCTCTGTATCCGCCTGAGAGAGTCTCTCTGTATCAGCCTGAGGGAGTCTCTCTGTATCAGCCTGAGGGAGTCTCTCTGTATCAGCCTGAGGGAGTCTCTCTGTATCAGCCTGAGGGAGTCTCTCTGTATCAGCCTGAGGGAGTCTCTCTGTATCAGCCTGAGGGAGTCTCTCTGTATCAGCCTGAGGGAGTCTCTCTGTATCAGCCTGAGGGAGTCTCTCTGTATCCGCCTGAGAGAGTCTCTCTGTATCAGCCTGAGGGAGTCTCTCTGTATCAGCCTGAGGGAGTCTCTCTGTATCAGCCTGAGAGAGTCTCTCTGTATCAGCCTGAGGGAGTCTCTCTGTATCAGCCTGAGGGAGTCTCTCTGTATCAGCCTGAGGGAGTCTCTCTGTATCAGCCTGAGGGAGTCTCTCTGTATCAGCCTGAGAGAGAAACGGCTGCACCTTGGCAATGTTCCTCAGGTGGTAAAAAGCTGTTTTGGTCACATTCCTGATGTGTGATTCGAAATAGAGTTCAGAATCTAAAATAACACCTGGGTTTTTTACCTGGTGTTTTATCTCTATTGCCTGTGAATTAAAATGTGAGGCTAAATTCTCTCTCTGTGCTTTGGCTCCAACAATAAGTAACTCGGTCTTGTCTTGATTTAGCTGGAGGAAGTTGTGAGCCATCCAAGTATTTCAATCACTAATACAGTCTAACAATTTATCCGTGAAGCTAAAATCCTCTGGAGACACCGAAATGTAAAGTTGTGTATCGTCTGCGTAGCAGTGAAAATCAATGGCGTGCTTTCTGATAACGCTGCCAAGAGGTAACATACATAAACTAACAACATTAACTAGTCTAACTGTCATGATTAATCTAGGAGAAGATTAGTCCTGACTCTCCTAAGTAACGTGAGAACAGAATAACTCAAAACAACATTAACTGGACTGACTGTCATGAGACAGCCTCCCCCACACTGCAGCACACGCCGCACGGCACGTAGCAGATCCATTAAAACATACTCCCTCTGGAGAGGGGCCAGAGTCCGAGTTTACCCCCAGTTTACTCCCTCTGGAGAGGGGCCAGAGTCCCAGTTTACCCCCGTTTACTCCCTCTGGAGAGGGGCCAGAGTCCCAGTTTACCCCAGTTTACCCCTCTGGAGAGGGGCCAGAGTCCGAGTTTACCCCAGTTTACTCCCTCTGGAGAGGGGCCAGAGTCCCAGTTTACCCCAGTTTACTCCCTCTGGAGAGGGGCCAGAGTCCCAGTTTACCCCAGTTTACCCCCTCTGGAGAGGGGCCAGAGTCCGAGTTTACCCCAGTTTACTCCCTCTGGAGAGGGGCCAGAGTCCGAGTTTACCCCAGTTTACTCCCTCTGGAGAGGGGCCAGAGTCCAGTTTACCCAGTTTACCCCTCTGGAGAGGGCCAGAGTCCCAGTTTACCCCAGTTTACCCCTCTGGAGAGGGGCCAGAGTCCGAGTTTACCCCAGTTTACTCCCTCTGGAGAGGGGCCAGAGTCCGAGTTTACCCCAGTTTACTCCCTCTGGAGAGGGGCCAGATCCAGTTACCAGTTACCCTCTGGAGAGGGGCAGAGTCAGTTTACCAGTTCCCCTCTGGAGAGGGGCCAGAGCCCAGTTTACCCCAGTTTTACTCCTCTGGAGAGGGGCCAGAGTCCGAGTTTACCCCAGTTTACCACCCTCTGGAGAGGGGCCAGAGTCAGAGTTACCCCAGTTTACTCCCTCTGGAGAGGGGCCAGATCAGAGTTTACCCAGTTTACTCCCTCTGGAGAGGGGCCAGAGTACCCGTTTACCCAGTTTATTCCCTCTGGAGAGGGGCCAGAGTCCCGTTTACCCCAGTTTACTCCCTCTGGAGAGGGGAAGAGTCCGGTTTACCCCAGTTTACCCTCTGGAGAGGGCCAGAGTCCCAGTCCTACACCAGCAGTTTCCCTCGTCCTCTGGAGAGGCCAGAGTCCCAGTTTACCCCTCTGGCAGGGGCCAGAGTCCCAGTTTACCCCGTTTACTCCTCTGGAGAGGGGCCAGAGTCCCAGTTTCCCCAGTTACTCCCTCTGGAGAGGGCCAGAGTCCCGTTTACCCCAGTTACTCCCTCTGAGAGGGCCAGAGTCCGGTTTACCCCAGTTTCACTTCCGCCCTCTGGAGAGGGCCAGAGTCCCATTTCTACCCCAGTTATCCTCCTGGAGAGGGCCAGAGCCCTGTTAACCCCTCCCGTGGGTCTATTGTAGACTGCTTTAAGGGTGAGACACACCCTCTTCTTCTGCAGACAGCTTTAAACACACTGATAGAGGCCACCTCTGTCCTATACCAGCCGTATGTCCCTCTGTTCCACACCAGCCGTATGTCCCTCTGTCCTATGTCCCTCTGTCCTACACCAGCCGTATGTCCCTCTGTCCTACACCAGCCGTATGTCCCTCTGTCCTACACCAGCCGTATGTCCCTCTGTCCTACACCAGCCGTGTGTCCCTCTGTCCTACACCAGCCGTATGTCCCTCTGTCCTACACTAGCCGTGTGTCCCTCTGTCCTACACCAGCCGTGTGTCCCTCTGTCCTACACCAGCCGTGTGTCCCTCTGTCCTACACCAGCCGTGTGTCCCTCTGTCCTACACCAGCCGTGTGTCCCTCTGTCCTACACCAGCTGTATGTCCCCCTGTCCTACACCAGCTGTATTGCTGGAAAGGTGCAAAGCAAAACATGGAGTGACTGACGCAAGCCACTGGAAATACATCTGCATACGTACATAAGCCACTAGAATGAGTTGTACATGTGAGATGTGCAGAGCTGTTCTTTCCATGGAGAACTGGTTGTCTTGGTTACCTGAGCAAAATAAGCTCTGGTTTGTGTCTCCCAAACACACCAGCCAGGTTACAACAACAGAGTGGTGACAAACACCCACAGGCGGGTCCAGACCCACCCACCCACAGGCGGGTCCAGACCCACCCACCCACAGGCGGGTCCAGACCCACCCCCCCACAGGCGGGTCCAGACCCACCCCCCCACAGGCGGGTCCAGACCCACCCCCCCACAGGCGGGTCCAGACCCACCCACCCACAGGCGGGTCCAGACCCACCCACCCACAGGCGGGTCCAGACCCACCCACCCACAGGCGGGTCCAGACCCACCCACCCACAGGCGGGTCCAGACCCACCCACCCACAGGCGGGTCCAGAGTCAATACATCACTAGGTCTAGACTACATCTAGCCTTGTTCAACAGATGGGATAGGATCGCTTTACAGATATGGAACAGACAAGATTTACCACCCAAACCCACTCCCGTTTTCCAAAATAAATAGCGACAAACCAATACATTATTTATATGAACAGCATGGCGTGAAATGGAACTGTTAAATGATATGCAATGTCTAAACCAAGTCTTCTCTATGACCTTCTCTGCTCTGCGATCGGCATGATTAATCATCAACGCTCAGGGTCACACAACGCATATCAGTATGGAGTTCAATTGGTTTAGACTGTTTGGAAGTTGACAGACTTCGACCATGCAGTGTGGTTGGTTAAAGTGATTTCTGTCCTCATCATGAAATTATCAACTTTACCCTTTATATCTACTGATTGTTTCAAGCAAAACTACCAAGACTATTTCTGATGGTGAACCTGAACAATAAAATCTAACGCCCCGTTTAGCACGTAACCTACCTTCAGCCAGATGAGCGTCCAGCGGTAGCTTAGCTTAAATGGTAAGACACCATTTTCAACAGCATTTGATAAGAATAACCAAAGCAAATTACATTGGTTGTCACTCAACTAATAAAGCCTAATA